CATAAGCAATGTCGTTGTCGCTCTTGTCACCTAAACTTTAGACTTATTCTAGTCTGGTGATCTATATGTGGCATTAACAAATATCTCTAATTACCGGAAGGAATTGGGTGTAATGGTCAAGCTCAAATCTCGGTGCATTGGGTTTCACTGTAAATTAAGTCATTTAAGAAATTTCACTGTTTGATTTAATTAAGAAAGTCATGAACCGCATTCTGGTGTATCCTCATATTTAGTGTTTTAATCAATTTGTGAATTAAGGTCAAGTGTTTAGTTTCATCATTCATTCAAAAATTAGGGAGATGAACTAACACCTAGAGTGTGCTCATAAAATCTAGAAAACCTACACTTTAACCTGTGCTTGAAGTGATTTAAGGTGTTTTACCCTCAATTAAGTTTTTTTCAAACTAATCTTCAAATATCTTTAAGTGTTTTCCAAATAATTAAATAAAAAATTCTCATTTTGATTTAACCATTTAACAAAAGAAAGAAGACCCACCCACTTCCAAAACTAACATAGTCAAGAAGGGAAACAGCAAGTGAATCGACCTAAAAGCATTTAAATTCTTTCAACAACTGTAATTAAACCGACAACCGAGAAAAGTGTTTAAATCTTTTCTGAAATAGTGTTTTGATTGACCCAAAAGTTCTCTAATTCAGAATACAAAAGATAAAGCCCAAAAGCCACAAAATAGACTCAAAAGGTGCGGCCCAAAAGCCAACAAACAGACCAAAAAAGTACAGCCCACAAGCTGTCAAACTGGCCCAAAAAATGCAGCCCACAACAGCAATTTCAAATGTCCCAAATAGCAATTTCAAATCTCCAAAACAGTGAAAAAGAAGAGCCAAAACAGTTCCAAAATCGCGTTCAAAACAGCCATAAAACGATGCCTTTGTGCATGTAAATTCCCCTAACTTTTGAATATTTAGAACTTTTTTCTTTTTATTCTTTTCTGCAGTGGTGATATTCAAGTATAACAAAAAAATGACCAATAGAACTGAAGAGGATAAATATGTGAACTCTAGCAAATTGATAATGGAAACCAGTAAGGCCAACCCACATCAGAGAAGACTCTTCACATCAGCTTTACCATCATAGGTTAAATGCATTAATGCTCATATTCAGGTGTCAAACAAAAGTTGAAGTATGAATTCATCAAAAATAACATGTTCACAGATATTGCATCATCCTAAACAGTCAAATGAACAAAAATGAAATGATAGGAGCTATGAAGTATGAGAAGAAATATTTGCACGCAAACCACACAATTGTAAAAAAAAGAACAGTTGCCTAAGCAGAACAGTTCATAACTTGACATTATCTAAACAATATGACATAATCAAATTGAAATAGACTTCATCCAATACAACGCATAGTCAATTTTGGGTAATAATAACAAACAATTTAAGGTGTGGAGGCATAATTTATTTTAACCATACAATTTGTTTTCAGCCACTAACAAAAAAAGGAGTATTATCTAAGCCAAGCAAATTGTTCAGGTATTAAAAACAGAAAAAGACATCAAAAAAATACCAACAGATTTCAAGATTTGTTGGAAACAAATGCTTAGATGCATGGTTTGTGGTTGCCTCCAGGGAAAATATGCGTCAGCAAAAATCGAAAATCTTCCAAGGGATGTCGATGAGGGGAGGAGTATTCAGCTAGGGCACTAAAGAGGAGGAGGCGAGCCTAAAGGGAGGCAGAGGGCGAGTGGCTAGGACTGTGATCGGGCTTTCAGTGCTAGAGGGGAGTCATAATGAGCAAAGGGTGTCGAGCAGAAGAGGTGAAGCAGGCGAGTATTGCGGTTGAGACGAATAAGGAGGAAGAAGCGAGGGAGAGCTTTCGGTGGCGAGGCAGGCGAGCGCGGAAGAGGGGAGGCAAATGAAGAGGAGCTCGCGGGAGGGGACGACCAAGCCTGCGAGGGGGGCGCGATCGTGCGTCTCGGTGCAGAGAGGAGGAGGCGAATCAGAGGTCTTCCATGTCAAGAGAGATAGGCGAGCGAGCAGAGGTTTTGGTGCTGAGCGGGAGAGGTGAGCCAAAGAAGAGATGAGGTTGTTCGGTGAAGAAGGAGAGGCGAGGCAGGCGAGAGTTGCAGTTGAGGGAGTTTTGGTGTAGAGGGGAGTCGAGCGAGGGCTTCGGTGCAGGGAGGAGTCGAACGAGGGAGTTTCAGTGCAGAAGGGAGGAGTCGAGCGAGGGGTTTGATGCAGAGAGGAGGCGAGCAGGTGAGTCTCGAGCAGAAGAGGTGAAGATGAAAAGAGACAAGGGAGAAGAAGAGGGGGGCGAATGCCAGGAGGTGAAACCCGTCGAATTGTATAGTCGTAATATTCAAAGTGGACGTTATGCGAGATTAGGCAGAGAATTAAATGGATTCCATTCATGCAGTCTGGCTCAATTGGAAAATCTTAACTCCTAATTACATTCAATTAAGATGAGATTAAATGACTCATTTGAAATTTAAAAATTTTAAATTTGAAACTATTTAGCTCATGCTCAACTCATGTCCAGTTCGAATTGAACTTAGGCTGAGCCTGAACCCGCACTCTCTAATTAAAAATTCGTGTGCATTGATTTTTGTGTCGTCTGCCCGCACACGGAACCATAGCAATATAGGCGTCATTCCTAGCTAAAGTTGACGTCTCGAATGCGCTCAAGCGGTCTGTTTCGTCATCTGTGGGTCGTCCGGACAAGTTTGTTGATGATCGGGTTGAAAATGCGTCGATTTTAATTTTTCTTCGAATTTTAGGTTCGTGACGGACCACTTCGAAAAATTGATTTTAGTTTAAATGTCGGTGCAACGTTTGTAAGTCGGTGACGTGAATTGCTAGGTTTACGCGCGTGGTGTATGTAAATATATATGTGTGAAAGTCGATATGGGTATTCCTAAGGCCTCCTGATCCTATGGGAACTCATTTTCGGGTTCTCCACATGCTGGTCCTTAGCCCTTGCAACTAGAAGTTGAGTGTTTGGGACCACTCATGCGAGGTTTTCCCAAAAATGGGTCAAGAAGTGGTTCCCAGTCTTACGTAAGGTGGGTTCCAATATTAGTCCTCTAGGATGGTCAACAGGGAATCCTAAGGCTAGATCACAGGCTCTAAGGAGAAAAAAAACTAAGACCTCACTGAAAATGAAGTCAACAACGGGATGAAGACTTTAATTTTTACCTCACAAAGGATTTTCCTCAACCATTGTTTAATGATTTCAAATTCAAGTTGAACATGATTGATATCTATGTTTCAACTTGAGGAAAAGTGTTAGAAGTTATGAGGATTGAATTTATTTCCTTGGATTTTCTTTTCCTATTTTATGATGTTTCCTTTAATTCCAAGTAATTATTAGAAATTAATTGATTGGAGATATAAGTGTTATATTTTTCCTTTCATTTTTTTTTTCTTGTCTTTCCTATTCTAGGATTCATGTAAGGCGTATTTGTACCCTCTTTTCAGATCAACAAAATAGTTCCACTGAATTCTCGAATCAGCATAAATTACTTTATTTATATAGGTTTAATTGTTAGAATAGTTGATTTACTATACCAAAAAATTAAGCAAGTTGGTATGGCTTGGTTTCATGGATGCAGGTTTAGTTTGGTGGAGGTTAACCTGATTAGATTGGCTTAGTTTACTAAATCAAACAAAGATGCAGGAGGCATGATCAAAGATGATTGTGTTTAAAAGAAACTAATTGAATAACTAGGCTTTTTTAATAGAATAGAAGGGAGCTCGATTACAGTAAATTGTAAGGGGGATGCTAGAACTACATGCACGGGAAGAGGCGGGGGAGGGGTTTATCACGCATTCTACAATAAATTGATAGTTAATTTATGCTAAGAAAGATTATAATTTATGATACAATTAGGATAAAGTTAAAATGCAAATAGAAGTTTGGAGATTTGCAATGTATTTGTCACGATTCAAAATTCAAATCAGGGATGGTGAAGATTTTTTTGAGATTTGTCTAGATAGTGACTGATATTTTAGGATTTTGGAGTTTGTTAGAATTTAGGAACATTAAGAGAGATTTGAATTAGGGATGGAAACAACAAGTAATGAAGTTGTTTCTAGACCGTCGCATGTATGAAAAAAAAATGGGGGTAGAAAGAGGTTCTATCAAGAAAAAAAGGAGAAGCGGAGATAAAGGCGGCGAATAATATAAAAGAAATAGAATAAAAACAAGGATAAAATAACTCATGCAATAAAATTCCTTAAACATTAAAAATTGAATAAATTAAATACTACCGCTACTTTAATACCACTGATTAAAGAATTTTTTGTTCAAATATCATCTAACATAGGAATAGATGGTATACTATATGTTACTTCAATACCCCTAATTAAAAAACTTTTGTTCAAATATCATCTAACATAGGGATAAGGTGGGGAATAAAAAAAAAGGGAAAAAAGTATGAATGTTCTGCCACGCAACTCTCTGAATCTCTTAAAGGTTGACATCATCATGTGTGCTATGATCTTAACCCTCATTAGCACAAATAATGGGTTGATGTGATCCATTCTCTCCCCATTCAAAAGGTACATTGTACTTTATTGCTTAAGCTTCTCAAGAAATCGACCAAATCGCTAAAATGCATCAATCGAAGTTACTTCCCACATGGCTATTAAAACCAACATGGCAGAAGTTATTATCATACTCATAATTTCAACCGACAAACTTGAAATTCCTAAGTGTCCCAAGCTCAACCTATAAATAGGACTCAACTGATTGGCTTCTTCTATCATTTTCACTCTGGCGGGTGGGGGCGGTGAGCATATAGACTCCACTAACCTGGGTATATTTAACTTCCATCCTCAAAGGAGAAAATGGTAGCAATTGAGGGGGCTGAAACCCTCAGAACAGCTCTAACATTTATTCAATGCTTGAGCATAGGAGAAGTTTCAAGCACTCGGCAATTCAAGTTGTTTTCTCAATTGGCAATTCTCAAAAAATAAACCACAAATAATAGAACTGAAATAAATAGTAAAAATGAATATGGGGAAAAAAAACATACCAGAGGAACCAATATATGGACGATTTTGATTGAAAGGAGTTTGAAGTTGCAATCTCGTCTTCACAAGCCAAATAGGATTTGTAAGCACGCATACCTGTCGAGTTCATAAAATGATACTTTATTTTCTATTAGAATAGCACTATGAAGTTAACTCTAGGCTCCAAAAGTGCTCCTTCACCTTTATCTAGAAAAAAGTGCTTTCAAGAGTGAATAATGTTGTGGAAAAATACTATCCAAAAATTTCCTCCTCATGGAGAACTTTATATAGCAGCTATATTTGATTTAATTTTTGTGAGTGACATTATGTATTGTGATTTGAATGGTCATTCTAATGCTAAGAAGAGATGAAGGGGAAGGGGGGCCACTAAACCACATTCTTAGTCCTTTAAAGCTTGTAGTGATTCAGTTGAACAGTCTCACATTATTTGTAATTTTAGATATTTTCCGTTTTTCATGACATCTTTTTGAGGTTTTGTAGAAAACTTTACAGTTTAATGAAAACAAAATATGTAAAATAGCATAAATATTTTGACATTTTTACTATCTCATGGTCGGTCATATGTTGACACCTTGAACAAGTCTTAGGCAGAACTGAAGAGAACTGTCAGCTTAGATGTGACATCAATAATACAATTTTAAGATATAATGCTTCAAGATTTCAACTTTTTCCTAAAGGTTTGAGGTCAAAGCAAAAAAGAGCACACTTTTTTTAGGGGAAAAAAAAAGTAATACAGAATAAAATATATAAATCAGTGACGGGGAAGATTGTGAATAGAATTACTATGAGGAAAAAAACTTGATAGCAAGAAATCAAAAGGGCTGCTAGAATATCTTAAAAAGTAAAAGTTCTAAGCCCATAACTATTAGCATAGGACGAAACGCATCACAACTAGCAGAAAAGATCAATGTGTGTTCCGTCAAATTTGGAAAAATTGAAACAACGCTAAAAATATTTTTGCATGAATCAAAGTGGCAGCCTCAATTCTGACCAGAGCACCTGCTTCTGCGGCTGCAACAAGATGATGACCAGGGCCAAGCTGCTGATCAGAACCTTTGAGGTACCTGTACTTTGCTCTGCTATAACTACAGAAAGGAATGTAAGAGTTTTTCTTAGATTATTAGAACAATGGAATAAGGAAATAAAAATTTGATTGATATCAGCAATTTAAGGATGAGCGTAGCAGATAAGGATAGCATACAACGTCATTGAGTAGGCATATTTCAATGGGGACCATGCTTAAATAAAACAAAAGGAAGATTTACATACATACCACTCAATTCTTATATAGTTACATATCTGATACCTATAATTCAATTTTTACATCTATGCTACCTTACCTATGCATAAAAAGGTGTATTTCATTTCTTAAAAGTTAAAGCTGTGGTATTTTACGAAAGACTTGGGTGGTATAAATGAAAAGTACAAAATGTAGTTGTTAGATAAGTAAGTTCATAACAATTGGGTTGTATGTATGTAAATGCCCAAAAAAAAAACCATCACAAGGTAAAATGATGAGCTTCTATGTTAAACATCATTTTCAGTATAGAAATCATAAAACTTAACAAACAAAAAATAAAAAACAAAAGAAAGCATGGCAAAATTTTCAAATTGAAATGCAGATATCATGAGTTATGAATGCATGATTAGGTATTCGATTTATAATGCACAAACATTGTGAAGCAGAACATTGCTAGCATGGAATATTGCCGTTGCCTCTAAAAGGGCAAACTGTTCTGATGAATGATCAAGCGGTTGCAAAATATGACAATTATAAAACTGTGGAAAACATTAAAAAGAAATTTACATACCTAGCACAGAATTCTTATATATTTATATATCTCACATCTAAGATTGCATATTTACGCTCATAGCCCTTCAGTGCTTTAAATCTATATATGAAAAGATTTATTTCATTTTTAAAAAGTGATAATAATGCTATTTTTAATGTGATATTAATGATTTGAGTGTTGTGTATAAATATGAAAGTTTACGTGTGAGATATGTAAATATATACAAAGATATACGAATTGCGTGTTATGAATGTAAATGCCCCAAAATTATAATATTGATGATGAAGAAATATGAATAACGGTAAAGGTGAGGAGAAAACTACAGGAATTGTATTAACAGTCTTTTCTTTATGCTTTATGTGTTAATAAGATATGACAGTTATACATTTTAACTAGGAAAAAGATGGGTTAATTTTCCACTAGTAAAATAATGAGATTTAGCAGGTGAAAAGGAAAAAGACCTCAATCTGAAATAAATAGCCATAAGGAATAGTATTCCAACGAAAATCAATAACTCACTCTTCTAACTCGAGGCGACCATTAAAAAGTTGGAAAATTTACATACGGACCACACAATTCTTACGTATTTACATATCTTACACCTAAATTTCATATATACACTCATAGCACTATGATGCTTTAAACCTATGCATGAAAAAGGTGTATTTCACTTTAAAAAAAAAGGTAATAGTGTTATTTTTTATTTGATATTAAAAGATTTGAGTGCTATGCGTGTAAATAAGAAAGTTGTGGTGTGAGATAATGTAAATATATAAGAATTGAGTGTTGTGGACTAAATGACCATAAAAAGTTTGACAAAGCCCAAACCTAACATCTAAAGCGCAAACCTATCTAGCGTGATCGCTCTTTCAACCTTTCTCACATCTCCCATAAGTGCAAAGCTGATGCAAGTAAGAGTGTACATCTCTTGGATAAAATTAAAAGATTGAGCCGAGCCAATCTTTTGATTTGTTTTTTAAAGTATTGGTTAGGTTATTAATTGCAATTTTTTTTAAATATTTTATTTTTTGCTTTTAGTATAGTTTTTAGTTTTGCAAAATCAATCAAGCCAAAATATTAAATTAAACTATTTTTTTTCAAATAATAAATAAATAAATCCCATCCACTATAAATAAAGAAGTGATGGAAAGATCAACTTGAATACTCATTATTCCATATACCAAAATTATAAATTTCAGCAAATATTACTTGATATTCTTCTCAATACAAACTATTCAAGCCAAAGATAATTTGGTTTATTCTTAAAATTAATTACATTTTATCAAAATGGAATCGAACTAGCAAGACTGAATTGGAGATAGTTTAATTTGTTTAATTTTTTTTATATTTACGGTCGAACCCAATTGATTTATCTAATTTGTAAGCCAAAGCAGCTGAACCAACCAAATGCGAAACCATACGTGTGGGATTAACTTCAATGACTCGGAATAAAATATAAGCTTCCTTTCATAAACAATGCCAATCCATAAGCAATAAAAAAAGATTCAAACTAAAATTAATTAAAAATAAAAGGCTAATAGATAGATTATCAAGCCTTGAAATTTTCAAAAAAAAAAATTTAAGAAGGGCTTACAAGAAGAAGTAAAGTCCCCATGAAACCGTTGACCCGAATACTGCAGGATAGAAACCTGCATAAAGCCCTCTCAGTCCCTGTAAGGAAAATCACTAAGCAAGCTGACAATTTGATAAAATTAAACAATCCTAAAATTCTGAAAGTCTGAAAAGTACCCAATGACTAAACCATAAAAAGGCTATAAAAAAGGAACATGCAAAGACTGGGATATGAATAATAGATGTTCACAATTTCATGTTTCAACCAATCAAATTCACCATATAATAAAAAAAAAAAGAAAAAAAATTAAAACAAAAACCAAAGAGGCCATGCTTTTGAAATATAATCACAGAGAAGCCAAATTGTCATACAATTAGAGAACTCAACAGATGAAATGTAATACAGTTAACCAATGGCATACATGCTAGAGTTCTTCGCTAGGCAAGAAAATGCAAGGGACATTTACATACATACCACCCAATTTCTACATAATTACATGTATAACCCCTAAATTTTTCTTTTAACAATGGTGCCATCCAAAATTTTCATGTCATATCAAAAATGCCACCATTTTAACCTTTAAAAAGTAAAATACTTCTTTTCGTGCATAAATGGTGAAACCATGGCAAAGGAATAAATTTCTGCATTCCAAAATGGATTCAATGAATTTCATGTTTCCAACAATTTTCACTCTAATCCAGTTAAGGTTAAAGAAAAGATAATTGCATTTTTCTTTTCTTTTCTTTTTTTTTTTGTTTGAAACCATTCAGATTGTATCTCCCCTGATCAAAAGCAATTCATTGCCTGTCTTTTTCATTCACTGAGTAAAAGGAAAAGAATCCCAGAAGTAGAATAGAACTAAGAAAAAGGGGATATTTGCATATATAACACTCAATTCTTATGTATTAACATATTTAGCACTTGAACTCCAACTTTTACATACATGTCCCCTCATCAATGCACTAAAAGGTGTGTATTATTTTTTAAAAGTTAAAAAAGTGATATTTTTTATGAGATATAAAAAGGATTTTAATGGTATAAATTTAAAAGGCAAAGTTTCAGGTGTTAGCTATGTAAATACATAGGAATTAGGAGGTGTTTATGCAAATGTCCTACATGCTAGCACTCAAATCTAATGTATTTACATAGTTAACACCTCTATTTCATTGTTTACATATATGCCACCTTATCTATGCATGAAAAAAAAGGCAGACTGACCTCCATCCGCGCCATACTGTAAATGGCGTGCGCAGTGTTCTTGTAAAGTGGAAGACAAGATCCCCCGCGACCATCGCTCACTGCAAATAGAATAACTTCTGGTCATGAAATAGAAGATCGTATAGAGTATATTTGATTTGAACGAATTGGGATCAAAATAAATGCATTCTACTTCACAAAAATTTCAATTATTAATTATTTGAATTTTCTAAGAATGTAAACGAACGCATGTTTTCATTGGCAATTCCCCATCAAATCCTAGTCAAAAAAAGTTTAAGAAAAAAATTTTGCTAGGTCATTTCGATCCTTACAATAAACAAAAACTAAAATTTCGATCGACGATAAGATAAGGAAATAGCTGATTAGCTTGTCGGCCAACCGATTGAGGGAAAAAAAGTATCAATCCAATTCATTAAACATAATTATCTCTTTTAATTTGTAACTCGTTCAATCCAAACAGAACCAGACGAAGTAGTGGAAGGACGAGAAGAATAAACCTTGAAATCTCGTACGGACGACGTCGAGAGGATGAAGGGCGGCGACGGTGGAGAATCCGGCGATGGCTCCGGCGGCTGCGTTCTCCCAGTTCCACTTCTCCGCGTCTGACATGGACTCGAGAAATCTGAAGCGGAGTAGCGGTGGAAAATTTAACTCACCCGTAAGTGCGGAAGCAAATTCAAAAAATGTCACTTTTTTTAATTTTTATCGTTATTTTCTTTTAAAGAATATATTTTTATCTTTAACAGAAGAGAAAGTAATGCACAGAACGCAGAGTCTGACTCCGACCAGGTGAATCCAAAAAGAGGCAAATGCAACAAATATGTAGATGGAGACTTTTGACTTTTGGGGTTCATTCGACGTTCCATATTTAGAGATCTACATCAAGCTCTTTAGGGTTTGTTCTATGATTTCTCGTTCGGTATTTTTTACTCCCCAAGATTTTTTCTTTTGTACCAAGATTAAGCTTCAAGGTTTTGTCCATTTTCATAGCATAGCTTCTTTATTGTTGCTTGCTTACATTTCATTTTTTTATGGCTCCACATGTTTGTTTATCTTCCAGCTTATTAATGAAGAAGAGATTGAGAATATTATAAGAATCAAATTATAACACACGATAGTTGCGTGTGATTCAATAATTGTCAGTTTGGTAAGTAAATTTGATGATATGCTTGTAAATGTGAGACAATCGTTGTTTTTTTTCCTTTTTTAATGATTTTTTTGTTTCCTAACTGAATATCTTTTTTTGGTGCATACTCATAAAATACAACCATGTTATATTGATTTATCTTAATAGAACTGATACAATATGGTTGTACTGAAGAGATACAGCAATGTTAAGTTGGTTAAAAATCTGAATAAAAAAATGAGTGAGCTTTTTATTATACAAAAATGGTGTATTGGTTGTACTGATTTCCTATAATACAACCGCTACAAAATGATTGTGCTGAAGTAATAAGACAACAATGTTGAGTTCTGTTTAAAATCTGAATAAAGATAAAAAATATGTATATAGATAAAATGAAATTTTAATTTTTTTTATTTAGCATATCTACAATTGTCTCGTTATTTTCCCTTATACAACCATATTGTATTGGTATAACTGAGGTAACTCAATGCAAACGAGATTGTAATGAGATAATTCAATACAACCGATACAACACGATTGTACTGAAGTAATACAAAAATCTTAATTTTTGTTTAAAATCTAAATAAAAATAAAAAAATTGTATATATATATATAATGAATTCTAAAAATAATGATATAGATAAAATGAATTTTTAATTTTTGTTTTTTTTCTATACGATTTTATAATTATTTCTCTTGTATAATAATGTTGTATTGGTTGTACTGAGGTAATACAATGTAATTGATGCAACACCATTGTACTGAAATAAGACAATAATATTGAGTTTTTATATATATATATAATGAATTTTTAAATAAAAAATTGTAAATAGATACAATGAATTTTAATTTTTTTTCCCCTATGATTGTCTGATTATTTCTCTTGTACAACCATGTTGTATTAATTGTATTGAGGAAACTCAGTCACCTGATACAACACAGTTGTACTGAAATAAGCACGCAATAATTATGTTGTTTTACGTTTGCATTCTTAATAGGTTTTGTTTTATTGTTTTAACAGTGTATTTGAAAACTTTCAATAGAATGATCAATAGAGGAATTACGTGCAGGTACCAACCCTTAAGATTTTAAGCAGTATGTGATGACTTTTCACAGGACAACCCTGAGAATGTTGTTGTTACATTGAGGAATCTACATATTGATCACTTTTTGAGAGTGTTGGAATGTTGAAAGGCAAGCCTTTATTGTTGGTGGTCATGAGCTGAAGTTTACTGTAGATGGAGTAACTCTTATGGTTGGTTCGCCGAGCAGAGGAATTGAAATTACTTGGATGAGGGAACCTATGTCCAAATTCACATCCATAGATTTTAAAAATAAAATTAAAAATTCCTAATATTGATAACATTAGTTCTAAATTCATTAAGCTTTTTATTAAATTTTTGCTTACAAACCTATTTTTTCATACAATAGCTATAAGGTACCTATCGATCTTCCTTCTCTTTTTTTCTAGAAATGCACATGAATTTGCATAGTATAAATAGTCTGAGGCCATATGGAGGTCCTTGATAGACTAATTTGATGGCCTAATTGAGAATTCAATACTCTAGAAAGCCTTTTGGCTACATGAGTGGTTATGTCACTCTTTTGATGGTATGAATTTTTAGTATATCATGTTTGTTGGTGACCCGACCCACAATTTTGCTCTTATTTAAGTCCCGAAAGATGGCCAGAAGCTTGACCTAATTTATATTAAGCGGCTAGTGTGCAAAATTAAATATTAGCAAAGTTGGTAGAATAGTTCACACACTAGGGGTACTACACATGTAAACATATCGTTTCAAGTAATATAGGGCTCTAGTTGAGTTCCAAGTATCAATCTCACAAGTATAAACTCTTATAGATTGACTTTAGTAAAATCTTATTTAAACTGCAGTTAAATTATTTAGGAAATGATGAAAACTTTTTGTGTATTAAATAATCCTATATAATTTAAAAGGAATGTTGAGTATGCTAAGCAAATGCAGAATGCAAATGCAAGACAATATAAAATGGCTAAAATGTGAAGTTACCACTGAACAATTCTAAACCAATGATGTATAGAAGAGTTCAAATTTTATAAAGCATCACTCCCCTTACAATGAGTTTATAATTAGTGTAAGAATCTAATAATTTAAAATATAATTAATGTATTGTGGCAAGTAGGAGCATACATATTATTTACCCTCTCTCGAGTGTATAAAGAACATTGGCTAATCTAGAGTAAAGTCCCTAAACCCGTGGTTAGGTTGGAAAGTTACTAGTTGTCACTCTAGAGTTTACATGTACCCTTCACCTGAAGGTTAACATCGCTTTAGGTTCCAAACATCTGAATCAAATTGGAAATTTTAGCTTGTCACTCTAAAATCTCCAATTTACGTCCATCAGTCCATCAAAACTACGTCCATCAAAACTTATTTCCATATTTATTTGCACTTAATCCCATGGACTACATTCTCATTCATGAGACTAAATGTGATTCTTACTATGTTGAGGAAAGCATAGCCCTTTCGGGTCATTGTGTTTCATAACTAATTTTAACAAATCAATTAGTCAGACTGATAAGTAAATTTAACATCAAGTTTAAATCATCAAAATTTATGGAATTAAAAGTACTTCTACTAAACTTTATTCCTACATATAATTATTCCTCATTACAGGGATAAAACCAAAGGAAACTACTCAAATCTCATGGGAAATACACAACAACACATGGATTTATAGATAAATATTAGTTTACAAAAAAAGATAAAGTAAAATAAACAAAATACACAGCTTATCTCAAACTCCTTCCTAAGCAATTCTTCCAGATTATTTGAATCACTCACTCTCCTTACAATTCCACTCCAATCTCACTTAGAACTGTAGTGAAGAAGATATCTCTAACTTCTCCTTCAATTCTAAGCAAGCCACCAAGGAAATCCTTCAAGCCTCTAATAAATTCCAAGCTCTTCTCTCTCTCTCTCCCAATGGTTTTTTTTCTCCAAAAGACTCTCTCTTGGACTCTCCTGAAGTCTCTTTAAATAAAGCTCTCAAAATCATCAAGAGTCACTTCAAGCACCCCTTCAAAATTCGTTCACATTCATTGAACCGTCTAAAAAATCGTTTCCGGCGCCTAGGCGCCACATTATGGGGTGTAGGTGTCAGTCTCTCTATTGTCTGGCACCTAGACGTCAATCTCTTTATTGTCTGGTGCCTAGGCTCCAGGTCAACTTTGGCCTTGTTGCTTCTTTTGACTCCGAATTGCTCTATTTTTGTTCCATTTACTCACTTGCTCCATTTAGTGTACCTACAACCAAAAACATCAAAAATACATTTCATTAAAGCGCAATATCATTAAAAATAGACATTAAATGTGTAAATAAAAGTAATATATTTTAGGCATGTCAAAATTCTCTAAACTTAATTATTATTTATTCTCAAGTAACTTATTTCTTTCGAAAAATTAAATATGCTAACATGTGGTTGTGGTTTTCATTAAAGTCCCCTATAGTTTTGTCCTATAAATGTGGTAGTTTTGACTTCAGAAAAATTCTAGTAATTCAGGCTAGAAATAAGACATAAGAATATTTTGTAATCAAGTTCAGGAATTCTGATTTTCTATTCATTTCAAAAATTAATTGTAGTTCACAATATATATGAATCTAAAAAAAATAACAGTTAGAATTTGAGAGAACTCTACCAGTAAAGGTGAACTAATACTTTTAGGAAATAGAAGCTCAAAACTATAATAAAACATGTTTCTTTATGTTAATTCAAGTGAAACCAGTTTTTTATTAGGCACCCCTTCAAGCTTCTCATCTCTGTCACATAATTATTTTTTTTTCTTTTTATTTTCTTTTTACTTTCAGGATCATTTTTAATTCTTTCTTTTTTTTCTTAGTGATGATTACTATACTTGAATCAGTATTTAATGATTTTGAACTTCACTATCCTCCTATTAAAGTTAAAAATTCATCACATTTATTTACCTTTATAATTTGTATTAGTTTTCAAAAATGATTTTTATAGAGTCTCAATTTTTTAAAGTATAGATTTAAAATCCTCAGTATTTGAAAAAGACAATTTCTTTTCTATTTTAAATAGTAAAATCATATATCTATTCTCTTTTACTTAATATCTTAATTCTTAGAACTAACCTTTATTACCAAAATTTACTTAAGTCTACCCCAACATCTATAGAGTCAAAAAAAATACAGTTCATATTATTTTTAAAAGAAATTTTCATTGAATATAGTTTCTTAATGATAAATAAAATTAGATTTTTCAAAAGTTTTTCTCCCTCCCCCAAACTTAAAATTTTTAATAGGTGAAGACATTTAGTACATAAAATATTGAAGCAGGAATTTTTTTTAATGATTTTCTAAAAAGGGTTTTAACATGAAAGTATACAGGTATTAAAAACAGGTATACAACAGCAGCATAGCTTAATTAACATGCAAATAACAAAAAGAAATTGCTTAGTACAAAAGTTCTCTAAACATAATATATATAACAACAATAGAGTAGTGTTGGCATTATTTTTTTTGTCACA